GAAGATAAAAGCGCGATGGGAGGGAGGGGTCTCGGAGGCTCCTCGTCAAAAAAGATGAAGTCACCGTGGTTTTGGGGCGGCACAGAGAAGAGGGGTTGGGTGAGTTCTTTAAGGTAGGGGGCATGCGCGGCGTCCGGGGGTGCAGGACGGCGTCGGGGGTTAGTCGCTTGCCAACAACACGACGCGACGCTCGCGCATCGTGATCGCTCGGCTTACCTGCTGCGTATCGGTGCCCTCGCCACGGCCTGGCTGGCTGGCTGGCTGCGTCCCGACGCTTTCGCGCATCCATCGACACGTCGAGTGCTCTCCTTGTACACGGTGAAGAGGTGTTCGAAAGCGAAACGAGGCGAACACGCGCGCGACACTACGCGACGCGACGCATCCCGTGATCCCCTCCGTTTTCGAAAGTTTCGCCGCGGTTGCATTGTGTTCACCGCTCGAGGCTAGCAGCTGGGACAAAGGTGCTCGTCGAATAAGAAAAGAATAACGCGAGAAGAAACGGAAGGAGAAGCGGAACATTCGAGAAGAATTGTTTCCATACAGGACGTGCTTTATTCGTTCGCGTTTGTCGCGCGAGTCGTGGACACTCTGAGGTTAGATGCTGAATCCGATTAGGACCGAAGACACCCCCGGGGCTGGTTCGTTAAGATGAAAGTCCGAGCGGAAGGATCGAGGACTTCCGTCCCGGGACTCGGTGTACAAGCGCTGGAACTCGTTGTCCTGTGAAAGAACCGCGCTCGGACGCGCGCGGGATCGATCCTGGCGGACGAGATCAAGATCCTTCCATGGTGCTGGCGGAAGTGATCGCTCGCGCGAACAGGGTGCTCGCGGTCGCTCGCGAGATCGCTTCGATCCGGGATCGGGAGGCACTTCGCCTCGCTGGCACTCGAGCTTCATACGCGACGCAACAGTGCTGTGATATTAGTGGACCGGAAGTCGAGCCGCGAGAAAGAGTACTGCAACGTGTTACCGCCACTGCAGTGAACGACGCGAAAAAGTGCGCGTAACTTCGATCGGCCCCGTGTGAGGCTGCGACCCCTACGGCCTTTTTTTGGATCTTACGCGGCGGGCAAGGACCGCGGCCGACTGTGCGAGGTAAGAGGATCGCTCTGTAAACGATTTAATTAATGAATGTGCCCTGTTAACCGCGAGCTGTTTCAACGGAGGTATTTAATTTAGTTTAAGTGTCTTTGATGTTTGACGACGGCGGGTACTGGTTCAGCGAATTTTCCTTGACGGCGAGCCCGACGGGAATTTTAGACGGAATTGAAAATGCTCGTGATATTTACAGATTCTTGATGACCAATTGATGGATTGAAAATGCTCTTGGTATTTACGGATTCTTGGTTCACTCGAAAACCATTTCATCTGTGATATTTCGTAAAAGGTTTAGCTTGTTAGTATATCCTTTGCTTTATAATTTCTCATCACTTCGGAGGTTGCTTTATTCGAATAATCTTATGATTATTCCAGATTTCCATTAATTGTAAAATTTAAATATTCATCATTACGGAAGAGTAATAGCCTTCGATCGATTCGAAGCGAATGGTATATTCATGCGTTTGAGTTCAGTTAAAAATATTATTACTGCGAGCCGAGTTGAACGTTGTAGGGAGAGGAATTTAAATTAACCGATTAAATAATCAATTATAATCAAACGGTAATTTTAATGTCGATTAAGGAATATAGCGCTGTTTCCGCCGTTGCAAGATACGTTTCTCACGAAAGTAATGCTCGACCATCAATCATCCTCGCTCGTTAATAATATCGCACTCCCGCTGTTTCCTTCATTGAATCGATGGAAATAAACATTAACGTCAGCGGATCTAACCGGTTAATTACAAACGGAGCCTACTCAATTTAGTTGCGGTCAATTCTGCTTGAACGCAACACTTCGAGGGATAGGCGAGGGATGAATCGAGATGCATTACCATTTCAAAATCGACACGTGAGATGCAATCAAGCGGTAACAGGTGAAGAAGATCGATCGGCGGCCTGAATTGAAACGCGTCGATATAATTTACACGTTAATTATCCCGCGAACGGACAGGAATTAATCTGATAATGAGAGGTCTTATCCAACTGGGATTTAAATCGCGCCCCTAATACGAGCGACGCAGCGCCAACGGTGAGATGCAAAACTGCTCGACACGTAGCTCGGGGTAACCAGCAAAATATGCACACGCTGTAATTACTTCTACGAGATCCTAACGCGCTCGAACGCATTATATAATTCGGCCGCGCATTGACACTAATGACGAAACTTTGCTCGCGCGCTTAACAATGAAATCGCTTTATTAGCATCCACAGTACGTGCCCGGATGAGATATCGATGTAAGAGCGGGAGGTTACTATTCGGGAATTTCATTTCGCAGTCGTGACCCGAATTGCATTCAAACAGAGAATCGTGTTTCTGGTACAAATTGAAAAATTCTGTTTTCCATGTAACTTTTCGATTTAATCGTGATTCTAAAAATTAATTACTTGCTATCGAGTAATGACTTATGTTAAACATTAGGGACATTATAGTTGATATGTCTCATTAGGTCTGTGACTAATGACACTTGTAGAATTATAATATTTTATCCTGAAATTGTGTTTTCCATGTAACTTTTCGATTTAATCGTGATTCTAAAAATTAATTACTTGCTATCTGATAATGCTTTATATTAAACATTAAGGACATTATGGTTGGTATGTCTCATTAGGTCTGTGACTAATGACACTTGTAGAATTATAATATTTTATTCTAATATACGTGAAGGATTTTATTTTTCAACAGCAATGATTTAGTGAACCACGGACAATTTTTCTGTAAATTCGTGATTTCATTTAGTTAACGATATGCGGATCTTAAGAAGTTATTAATAGAGTGCTATAACAACACTCATCCTTTTAATCAAAATATTTGCCCGCGTTGCTTAGACATAGTTCCGTGCTTAATTTGTAATCAACCTGGCGGCAAAGCTTAATAGATAGCGCTCGCGAGCGCGAGGCAAGTTATCAGAGATTCCATACGAATTTTCACGCCGAATAAGCAATCCGGGTCCGTTGCTGAATAAGCGAGAGACTTTCAGAAATTTATGTATATACTTGAGAGGATTTCTCTGATGATGGAATTGAATTTCCGCGAGCTTCCGCCGCGGTCCGTGCAGCTTTAAAAAATAGGCTACGCTCGATCGAGCGACATCCGGCTCGCGAGGAAAAAAAATATTTTACTTAGCGTCGACCGTGTTGATGCATTTCTCTTGCACCGACGTCTCGTATTTGCATTCGCTCGTCCCGCTTTTTTTTTCAATTAAACAAGGGGAACTATAATAACAACGTCGTCGCGGGCCGCGGCGTTTGCAACACTGCAAAATTACCAACGCGTCGACCAGAGATAATTGCATTTCATTTTTGTGTCGCGTTGGCAACGTCAGCAGTTGACAACGCTAGTGTCGCGCTTGGCGTGCGGTTTTCCCGTCTCCCTGAAATTAAACGTAGCGCCGCGCATTTCAAATACTTTTCGCGACCTTTTCATATACTAACCCTTCGTTCTTCCCGTATCTATCCAGTTTAATTTGAGAATCGCTGTGTTCCTTCGTCGAAATTTGTTTCGCGAAAGTCACAATAACGGCAGATCGCTGATCTTTAAACAGAGAAGCTTCATATTTATTAAAGTTTTTATTTAAATTCAACAACATTGCTTGATAATCCAATTTTCTGTACATGTAGGAAGTATGATGGTCGATTACCATCTACGTGTTCGTTTTCAGAATCTTTTATCTACAGTGTGTTGTGTACAAGTCTGTTACGCGATGCGAGAGATAATGACGAACCGTATAACGACGCGAGTAGTGGATGCTAACTTGTATCTATCCGAACTCTGTCAGTACTTTGTCTGAACTCCTAGCGGCTACGGTCTCTACCTTATAAGGAAATTCCTCCTTCCTAAGAAAGAGCTCGATTGGCTTTTCGCTGACTGGTGGAAGTCCCGAAAAGAGGTTTCCACCAATCAGGTAATTTCACAACCACCTTTACTCTTTGCGTTCTCAGCGAGTCGCTTCGTAGCAGGGATAGTTGTTAAAAAACTTTTCCTAAATTATTGGCGATGATGCAGTGGGGACTTTCGCCGGTTGACGAAGCCCAGGCGCACGCCTCGCTCGAGCACCTCGAGCTGCCCTCCGTTAACCGAAAATTTATGGCGTCCGATTGCGTTATCGAGAGTGTGGTGGGAAAGCAGCGTGGACCTATCTGCCCGCCAAAGGTCTAAAAACGTTGAGGACACTTTCTCGAAAACGTTGAACTTTCGTACGTTGAAAGTTCCTCTTTCGGTGCGTTATTAGCCGCTACAATACTTCTTTTAATTAGTTCGGCGGATTAAAACTTAACATTCTTTCTCGTCTAATTAATTAGTTTCAAGAGGACCTTCGACCTACTTATCCGACCATAATCTTTAAGATATTTAAACGTCGTCCCTTAAATGTTCGAAAGTTCGTTTGACTTGTTAAAAGAGAACGAAACTGCCAGTTAGAGAAAGAACACGTGAACTTTGTAACGAAATATTGAATTTCTATGAAACAGCGTAGCTTCAGTTTCTAAATTGACACTTTAAACCGTGAAAAAGATACCGCTATCACGAAATTCCGTGCCGAGTTTCGTGGCTGCGTCGCGATGTGCTTTTTGTAACGGTCGGTTTCGGTCGGCGCTCGATAAATACCGTAATCTCGAATCAAGCCGGCACAATTACCGTGAAACCGTGGGTGGGACGGACACCGAGCTGTGTAATTTCGTACGGATCGTTCTCGTAATTCTTCCTTCGTGCGTGACAAGAAACACGCTGCGGGGGTGAGGTTGAAACGACCCTGGCGCCACTCTTTCTCCACAGCGATCCAGGGAATTTTTCGTCGTGACCACTTCAGATAGTTTCCTAACTCAGCATTATATATTATCTATTTCAAGAACGTTTAATCCTCTGCGACTCCCTTTTTAGTAACAGGATTGCTCTCGAAGTTAGTGTCTTTCGTCGAGTATTCGATTACCTTACCGATAAATATAAAAATTCATTAAAGTTTCGTTCAATCGATATACAAGTTTAACGTACGGGTTCCGTTCTGTTTTAAAAAACTTCAAACTATTTTTGTATTGTATTTTATGTCTTAACGATGACTGAAATCTGTCAGCACCATTTTTAACCTCTCTGCTTTGATTTCATGTTCGGAATAGCGATAAAGTATATATTGTACAAGGATATCGACGTCACGAAGTTTTTATCCCGTCATTTTTCAGGGAATCTCGTTGTAGTTATAGTTAGAGCGTGTTCCATTGAGAAATGAAACGATTCGCGGGGAAAAGGAGAGAGTCGCGTGGTATTCAGAGCATCGCAGCCACTCGGGCCGACCGATTCGGCGCCAGTCAACAATTCATCTTCATTGCCGTAGCGTAATTTCGGCAATTGCTTTTCATCGATCGACCGAGCAGGGTTATTTCGGAATAGAGGACATTTTGTCGGCGGACATCGGCGAATTGTTCGCGCCGCTCCGCGTTTCGCCGCCCGCTGTTTTCTCGCACAACAGCTGAAGAGGTTACGCGATCTCTCGTGTTCCACGAGTTCTGAAATGAAATCGGTCGCCGACAAGAGAATCTTTCATTCACTCAGTTCATTCTCAGAATTCATTTCCTCTTCCAACGGACGCTGAAAATGAATAGCTGGAACGATTGAAACCAACGCGGGAACGAAATTAGCTGCGCCATCGTTTATCTCTCGCTAACGTCAGCTAATCAACGTTTTGCGAGCTTCTCGTTATTCGTGAAATATATTCTCGGAACTAGTAGCGTAGATTTTCTCGCTGGATTTTAGTCGAATTTCGAATGCACTGTTAGATATTATTAAATATTTTAATTTATTCAACGATCGTTACCAGGGTCTCAGAAAGATCAAGCACCATAAACTAAATGTTTTATTATTTTAATAAATAGGAAATAATTTGATAATGGAAACATGTTTATAAAAATATATAAGTAATATAATGAAAGAATTAGTACAATATAATTAACACAAATATGATATGTATTGTCATAATAGCAGACCGCAGACCAGAAACATACTGTAT